CCCGGTCCAAGCTGCCTGAAACAAGTACAGTCATACTCTAGTATATCTGTGGGATTTGGTTACAGGACTTCTTGATGATACCCAAATCCACAGATACTAAAGTCCCTGATATGAAATGGTGTAGTATTTGCACGTCGCCTATGCACATCCTTCCTGTATATTTTAAATCATCTCTCTATTACTTACAATAGCTAATACAATGTAAATGCTATGTAAATAATTACTACACTGTCTTGTTAGGAAATAATGACAAGAAAAGGAAGTCTAAACAGTTCAGTACACATATAGTTATCCCTTTTCCCCAAATATTTTTGATTCAAGGTTGGTTGAATCCATGAACATAGAATCCAAAGATACAGAGGGCTGACTATAGTACCCTTCTTCCCATCACTTCCTTCAATGTCCTTACCACTGCTCATTGTTTGAACTTACTACTTAGTCTGCCTAACATGTTGCGTGTGTTTGTGTGTTTGTGTGTGTGTAACTGTTAATTGTTCTTTTCTATTATCTGTCTCTCTTCACTAGAATATAAGTTTTATGAGGGCAGAGACTTTGCTTTTTTTTTTTTTTTCATATTACAGTCCTAGGGCCTAATATTTATAGGTGTTCAATAAATACCTTTTTTTTTTTTTTTTTTTTTTTTTTTTTTTTTTTTTTTTTTTTTTTTTTTTTTTGTGAGATGGAGTCTTGCTCTATCACCCAGGCTGGAGTGCAGTGGCGTGATCTCAGCCCACTGTGACCTCCACCTCCCAGGTTCAAGTAATTCTCCTGTCTCAGCTTCCTGATGAGCTGGGACTACAGGCGCCTGCCATCATGGCTGGCTAATTTTTGTATTTTTAGTAGAGATGGGGTTTCACCATGTTGGCCAGGCTGGTCTCAAACTCCCAACCTCAGGTGATCCATCTATCTTGGCCTCCCAGAGTGCTGGGATTGTAGGTTTGAGCCATCATGCCCAACCTCAGTAACTGCCTTGCGAATATATGCTTTCCACTAGCCATGAATAGCAGCAAAATAAAATCTCGCTAACTGGAAGCAAAGGGAGAGATGGCTAGCTGATTCATTTAAATGACAGAGTATTTACTTGCAAATTCATGAATTTTTAATCAATAATTGGCAAAATCTGTTTCAAGTAAAAAATATATCTCTGCCAACTTAAGAGGAGTGAAACTCATTTCTAATTGTTATATTGATTTTGTATATACAAGTATGCTTTTAAAGGCCCTGACAAACTTTCTCCTAAATCGATTTACCAGGTCTCCTACAATTTGATTGTACCTGTAGTTTGATTAGTAAGCCCTTTGCTGGTATCATTGAAGTCATTCTCAAAGCGCTTAAAATGTAAACCTCCGCTCATTTCATGTCAAATACTCTGAAATTCTAAGTTTAGAAAATCCAGAATACATGAAGTTTTACAGCATGAGTATGTCTTGGATGTATAAAAATATAATAGTACATATATTTGAAATGCAAACATTTATGACTTGGCACCATTAATGTACTCACAATTTCAAAATCAGTAATGAAATTAGAATTAAAACTAAGAGAATGGACCAATAACATCTCTCTCCAGCGTGTGTGTGTGTGTGTGTGTGTGTGTGTGTGTGTGTAGGGGCGAGTATGCATGTTTTTAATTTTTTGGGTCATATTGAAATTTCTCTGACAGTAGAACCTGTGTTACTTAGCCTAGTAACTTACATAGTAGATACCACTATGTTTTAAAAATTCATTCAACAAAATTTGTTGAGCACCTACTCTGTGCCCAAATCTGGGATATGAGATGATGATATAAATACATTAATAAATAAAATAAATATGAATATTTATTAAATACAAATGAATAATGATGACAGATAGTTTTGCCAAATTTTATGTAAAATATATCTCTATTACACTTGGCATAAAATTCCATAAATTAGAGTTTAATCCTGATGGGAAAAAATTTATTCCTGAATACATTTGGTATAAAAATGTTTAATGCTCCTTGAAAAATAATTTTTCTAAATGAGTAAAACTGCCTTCTGAAAGAAACAAGGCTCAACAAAATTTCAAGACTAATCCAAAAAATAAGCAATAAAACTTTCTTTTGGTTTGAACCTCAAATAAGATCTATGTAGAATAGCATATTTCATAGGACCTCTATTGAAGTAGGGTAGAACTAGACAATGTGAGAAGGAAATGTCACAGGAATTAGCTTTAAGATAATTATCCAAAGTCTCATATACATTCATGGCCCTATCATGGTTGACTGTCTACTTCGCAGGTTCCTCAGCATTGTGTTCCATGAACTCAAGTAAGAATAGGTCAGACATACTGCTGTCTATCATCAGCTACTCAGCTACTCAGAAAAAAAAAGTGCATGCCTCAGAAAAGTCATAATCAGAAGCTATCCTCAACCGTAATGTCCAAATGGTAATAAATTCATCCAAGAACCAAAAGAAAGTTCAAACTTTTAAAAGTAGGTTATTTTCAAAACAGAATATAACATACAATATGTTATTTTAATTTTAAAAATAAAGCAACTGAAAGAGCCTTAGTAGTAAACTAAAATGTACTTAATTTGCTATGATTTGTACCAATGGAAGTAAGCTGTGTGGCGCACTTAAATGCATAGATGACTCTGAATCTACAATATTTTCTTTTTTGCCCCACATATTTATCTTCATAATTAGTTTTGATAAAGCTAGCAGTTATTCGCTAACAGAAAGAGGAAGTAACACTTGACACTTAAATGTTTGCATAGATAATATGTATCTAATGATCATATAACAAGACTTTTAAATCCTTGAATGAAGGAACGAAATCTCTGACTCCTTCTTTACTCCATTTTATGGATCATGTAACATAGGGCCTTGCACAGAACAGGTGTTCAAAACACAAGTGGTCAATGAATATTCACTTACAGATAATTAAGATTCAATGCTCATGTACTAAAAGAAATAAGTATTTTTAGTTTTTTGGTAGTTCTCTTATATTACAGTAAAACAATAATTCTAGGTTTTGCTAAGCATTGTACTTTTTGAACTACCATAATAAATTACTTTTGTATATTAATTTGTTAATATTAGCTATTCTAACACATTTTAATGGAGTAACACAATACATGTGTAAAGCCCAATGCATATTTTCTTAGTAAGTGGGCAGCATTCCCTCTGCATGGTAACTAGGGGACTCTCTTTATCTCTGGGGTTTTGCCTGTCCTGGGTCTTAGAAGTCTCTGCATTCAGCTAAAGGATGGGAGCCCGTAGACTAGAAAATGTTTATCTGCTGCTTAACTGTCTCGGCCTGAGAGAGACCAACCACCCCAGTCCACAGTGGAAAGCAGGGTCAGGCTAGAAATGGAATCCCTTCCTGGGCAGATAATTCCCAGGGTGAATTATACTAAGGAAGGGAAAACACAATTTTCTGATAGACAAAAAGTTGTCTTTTTTTGTTTTTGCCCCCTACGATTTCTTGATAAGCAGGACATTGTCAAAGTCAGCATCTGGGAACTGAAGCAACCCCTCCAAAATGTAAATTCCAAATATAAGGTATTCTCATGCAAGTGGTAATATAATTATGGACTGCTAGGGTAGTCTAACACGGGGGTTCCCAACCCCTGGGCCACAGACTGAGATCAGTCCGTGATCTGTTAGGAACTGGGTTGTACAGCAAGAGGTATGCAGTAGAGTGAGCAAACATTACTGCCTGAGCTCTACCTCCTGTCAGATCAGCAGTGGCATTAGATTCTCACAGGAGTGCAAACCTTAGCGTGAACTGTGCATGGAAGGGATCTAGGTTGCCCGCCCCTTGTAAGAATCTAATGCCTGATAGTCTGAGGTGAAACAGTTTTATCCTGAAACCACCCCCAACCCCCATCCATGGAAAAATTGTCTTCCACAAAACCAGTCCCTTGTGCCAAAAAGGTTAAGGACCTCTGGACAGGACAGAAAAAGAGTGGCAGTAGGAAAGCATAGGACATCTGAAACAACATCTGAATCAAAAAGATGATCTGGCTGTCTACTTCAGAAGTCAGGTGTATGAACACAAGTAGTCTGTAGTTAATATGCTGCTGTCCTGTTTTCCTTAAAGCAGGATCTAATTTTGTTTAAGAAGTGTCAGTGTTGCAGCAGTTATGGAATCATACACAGGCATTAAAAGTTCCTGTTGATAACATGTTGGGAAGTGATTATGAGTCATACCTTTTTTTTCCCCCACACATACCTTAGCTAGGAGGTGTCCTAGACTTGTAGCGGACTAAAGGGTGTGCCTGAAAGGTGTGCCTTTATTTCCTATCTATCATAAAATGTTCTATGGTGCTGACATTTTAAGCCTTCTGATCTTGGTTCAAAAAGATGTTTATCCTATACCTGGGAGAAAGTCCAAATAACGGTGGGAACTTCATTTTTTTCTAATACGTGGGAGAGAGTGTCTTGGCCTTGGAAATGAGCATCTCTGGACATGGTTTCCTGGTCTTTTCTGAAACAGGCCCTCTTCACCCACAGGTCTTGGCATCGCTCCCTCGTGTGCCATCTGGCCAGGGACCAAATTCCCAAATCTGCCTTAGCAACTAGCTCTGCCCGTGCTCAGGAGGCTGTTTTCAACAACCCCTTCCTGAGGAGATTACAGTGATCTCTCAGAGCTCATAATTTTATGTTCTCTGAAAATTCTAGGCTTTATTGAGGGCAAGGACCATTTTCAAATACATTCTCTCCCCACCAAATTACCCACCACAGTGTCTGGCATATAATAAGTACAGAAAATATATTTATTGAATGAATTGTGTAATTGCCACCCAGTATCCTGGGGTTGGAAATGGGGCAGGAGAATCTCAGTGCCAGTGGCAGCCTCCCTGTGCTGGTGGGACACACCCTGCATCTGCTCCCTTTGCTAGGCCTCCACAGAAGTATCTAATGTGTTTCTTTTCCGTGCAGTCCACATCAAATTTACGCTGCAGCACTATCAGTCTCTTTACTAAAACTTAATTTTGAAGTTTGAGCTTTAATCTAATCCTTGTCTCCAAAACACTTGTCCTGGCTCCATCTCCCAGCTCCCTAAACTTGTTTATCTTTTCTTTGTGTGTGTGGTGTGTCTGTTGTGGGTGGGGGGGGGCGGTGCGCAGGTGGGTGTCTTAAACCATTTATTGGACCCGTGGTCCAATTGAGGAAATAGAAAAACCCTGATACTGAAGGACTTTGGAAATAAAACAGGAAGGATGAAGGGTAATACATTTTTTCAGATTTCCTCATAATTACCCCCAAAAGCTCCAACCATGTTGCCAGTCCTCGGGTGCTGCAGTTGTTCAGGGAGAGGGGCTGCGTGGAGGTGACCTTCTGGTAGAGAGAGACGGGCCTTTTGAGACTCTGTGGCGCAGCAGGCGGGCCAGGAAGAAGCATTTGGACCACTATCACTCTCAGCCCTGGCGCGCCTGACAGTCTCTCCTTCACTTTCTTTCCGACCGGAGGGACAAGTGTGGGGATCCGCTTTGGGCTCCAAGGTTCTGCCCGCACCGGCAGCACCAAGCGGGTGTCGAATGACTGGAAGGAGCAGGGAAGGAAGATGGGTGTCACCCGTCCCGGCCAGTGTCTGCGCGCGTGTGTGTGAACAGGGAAAAGGCCACCCTCTCCCGTGCTTCTCCTAGGTTCTCCCTGGAGACCCGCAGGGCTGTCCCAGGGAACTCCAAGCTGCCCGGGGTCGCCGGGGCTCGGTCCCATCCTCTCCCGCCAGCCCGCTCCCGCGTTCCACAACGCCCTGCCGCTCAGGGCGTACGCCTGGCTGGGACACAGTAACAGCCGCCACACCGCCAACGCAAAAGCCCCACTTTCGCTTGGCAAAAGCAAAAACAACCGTACACCCCATCGCAGTCGCAGCTCTTCTCCGCAAGGTAAGTTGTTTATCCGTCGCCGTGTTGGCGATACTCCCCGGACAGCTGCGGCAGCGACAGCAGCTGTGCCGCGGGCGCCGAGCTCCCAGCCTCTTCCTTCCTCCGCCCTCTCAGGGCTGCCTCTCACCCCCACCCCTTCCCTCTATCCCCGCCTTCTCTCTCCTTGCCCTCTCGTGGGCCACGCACACACCAGGAGACACCCTCCGCACTTGGCTACTCACACTGCGGCTTAACCCAGCCGACAAGGCACGCTTGCCAAACAGGCGCGGGGGTGTGTGCGGGGTCCGCGTTCGGAGGCCACAGAGGGGTGGCGTGGTACAGCCCATCTCCTCCAGGCCGCGACCCCTTGCCCACTCTCCTTCCCTAATCTCGGCCTGCCAGCAACAGTGACACCTGAGCAGGGACTGGGCGGTGGAGGCGGCAGGCCCGCTGGTCCGGCAGCTCGGAGAAAACAGAGCGAGGGGCGGGGACAACCAGGAGGAGCGGGAGGCGGGACGAGCGGGGAGGCCGCCACCTGGCACTGAGTGATGCACACGCGAGCCAATCAGCGTGCGGGACTGCAACGTCGGGGCGGGAGGTCGGGGGCGGGCTCCGTGGGGAGGAGGAGGTGGCCAGCGCGCAGGAGGCGGGGGCCGGGAGGAGGAAGGGGAGGAGGCGGAGGCGGGCGCGGCGGCGGCGGTGGCGGCGGCGGCGGCGGCGGAGGCGGCCGAGAGGGGTAGGTTGTGCCCGGGACTGTGTCTGCCGAGCTCCGCTGCTGTGCCTGTGTGAGTGGAGGAGCGGCGCGGGGAGGCAGAGGCGAGCGCGGGCGATCGCGACGGCGGGACGTCTCTGGCGGCCGCGGCACCAGCGGCGGCGCTCCGTCTGGAGAAGCTTCGGCAGCGGCAGCAGCAGAAGCTTCAGCGGCAGCAGCGGCGGCCGCCTCTCCGCCGCCGGGGACGCCGAGGTGCGGCTGGTGGCACTGACATCGGCGGCCCTGCCTCTCCTCCCTCGCCCCCGGCCCTCCCCATGTGATCGGTCTTAATCCCGACCGTGTGTGCGCGCGTGGGGCTCCATTCCGCGGTGCCGGGTCTCCGTGCCGGGGTGGGTGCCCGTGTGTGCGCTTCTCCTCCCCATCCCCCTTCCCCCAAGAATAAAAGAAGAACCGGGAGGCGTGCTCAGAAAATAAATAAATAACCACCACACACGCGCAGCCCGGAGCGAGTCGGCGGGGCTGGCGGCAGCGGCGGAGGAGGAGTGAAGGCGGCGGCGGCGGAGGAGGGACGCGCGGAGAAGGCAGCAACTTTAAAGCCGGCTCAGAGCCCAGACCTCCAGCCCAGCGGCTTGCAGCGCGGCGGCGGCGGCGGCGGCGGCGGCGGCGTTGAGTGTCTGGCCCGCGGGTCCGGTCGGGGTGTGCAGTCGGACGGACGAGCAGCGCGTCGCTGTCCTCCGGCGGCTGGAGATGTCCGAGCCCAAGGCAATTGATCCCAAGTTGTCGACGACCGACAGGGTGGTGAAAGGTAAGCGGAGCGCCGCGGTGGCCCGGGTGCACCGTGTGCCGCAGGCGCCAGGGCAGCTCGCCTCGCCTCCCCTCCCCCGCCCCGGGTTCTCCTCTGCCCGCTCCAGCCGCAGACCTTCTAGGATATTGTGCAACCCGCGAACCCCCCGCCCCCGCGGCGCCCTTCCCCCACGCGTCCCACCCAGCCTCACTTGGGGCATTTTTATTGACGGGGGCGTCAGTTGGCAAATGGCTGAGCGGCGGGGAGGCAGCGGCGGGGGTGGCGGTGGCGGGAGGGGGCGCCCGGGGGTGGTTGCTGGCAGGGTGTAGCTGCTGTGACAGAAATAGGAAGTGGGTGGCTGCTCTCAGGCTTGCATGGGATCGGGTTTATGGTTTTTTCTGCAGAGGGAGGGGTGATTTATGGCTTTTAAAAAATTAATATGGCATTTTTATGTGGCCGTGGCTTTCCACCGACTGCCTCGCTCGGGCAGGGTTCTGTGGGCGCTCCATTGCAGCAATTCCCTCCGCGCCCCCTCCCCCTCCCCCTGGAAGGGCCTGCACAGGACTCGCGAGAGAGCTGGAGAGCGTGGGGGGAGCCCGGCGCTTCCTTCCGCGCGGGGCGCTGGGCGGGGGAGGGGGCGGCCGCTGGCTGGAAGGTGGCCGCGGGGGGCGCGGGAGGCGGGTAAAGACCCGAGAGCACCAGCCGTTGCCGTCCGGGGATTTCCCCCGCACGCCCCTGGAGAGACACGAAAACCACTTCTCCAGCTTTCCTCGCTATCCCCGGCTGTCCCCCGCCGACCTGTCATTGCTCCTGAAGGGTTCTCCACTTGTGCACGTCTCCCAAGTGATAACCTCATTTCGCCTGCTTCCTCCGTGCCCTGGCATCCCTTTTGTAACGGGCTGTTTGATTCCCATTATTATTGCCTCCTCTTCCCTGCCTCCGGGATGATATACTCCTGGCGGGGATGGCACTGGGGTTGCTAAAGAGAAACTGGCAAGTGCGGAGTGAGGAAGGGGACAGGCTGGGATTCTCTCTATCTCACGAGAATCCACGGACCTCCTTGTATTCCTAGGTATAGTGGGGGAGGAACCATCCTATGAATCCTGTAAGGATCCTGTAAGGATGAAGCAGCAGAGCAGATCCACCTGGATTAAGTAGTATCTCTCATTCCTGGGGTCAGGACACCAAGCTAGGCAGAGATGGGCATGAGCTGTGCGCGAAGCGGGCCTCTGAAATTGGAAACAGCATTGACTGGTGTAATGTGTATGTGTGTTGCGTGTAGAACAGAGATGGTATCTAATGTGGCCAGAGCATGCAATTAGGGTGCAAGGCAGTCAAGTCCTTTGCACCATGAGCACTTAAGTGAAGTGACCCAGCAGCCCAAGAGATCATGATACACAAGTCCCTCTGGGGTTTCAGAAATGATCCTTTCTCCTTACAAGCTTACTCAGTTTTTAAAGTAATTTTTCTGTGTGAGTGGTGGTGGTGATGGGGGAAATTGTTTTCCCTTTTTTCAGAAAGAACAAAATATCTTCTTTTGTTTTGGTTATACTGGAATCATTCCTGCTTCAGCTTCATTGCTTCAGATTCGTATACCCAGAACATAATGAGGAAATAGCTCTGCAAAAATGATTCAAAATAGGGCTGCGGAGAGATGCACAACTATTTTATTTCTTCTGCAGGCGTGAATTTTTATGGAAAGAGTCCATTCAAATTCGTTTGAGAGACCCGTGTTTTGCATTAAAGGCTTCTGTTGACATTTCCAAAAATTGAGAGTCTTTCCTGAAATATCAGAGAATGACAATTATCTCCTTAATGTGTGAAGTTTAGACGTAGCACCAATGTAGGTTAAGATCAAAACAATGTAAAGCTTACTATTCAAATGATACTAGTGAATGTGTTGGCAATTAAAAAAAGTCCTGCACACGTAAGGTCACATTCCCTGTTTTAAATCACAGGATGTGGATTCTTAATGTAAATGTAAAGTCATCAAGTGAACATGTAAAAATAAATGTTTATACTCTTTGGCTTAGTGTCTTTATCAGTTAAAATGGAAGAGCCCACTCAACCATTCCAAAGTTTTTTTTGCCTGGCTTTTTTTCAGTGCTGTATCATTGTAAAGGACTTTTCGTTTTAGGTACACACACTCACTCATAATTTCAAAAATTTTACTTACATACTTTTGCAGAACTGAAATACAAGTGTGGATAATAGACTCAAAATAGGAAAAGTTAATTTTGCATTTGTTTTGATAGAGATCCTGATGTGAGATGTGAAATGTGAAATTTTGTTTATAGAAGTTTTGTTGATGAATCCTGATTTTAAGGTGGATACACAGTTGCTGTTTATCCTATGTTTTCTTGTAGACTTTATATTATTATCCTATGTTTTCATGTAGACTTTATATTATTAGCATGAAAGACATTATCCAAGGTTGGATTCAACATTTTGTCATAAATAACATTTTTATGATTAGTTATTGAAATAATCTATTTTGATTATTAGCCTTCTGTGAGATAATATTTCCCCTTGAATATGTATACACGTACTCAATGAATGGAAAGTACGTGTATGCTGGATGTGAAACGTTAACAAATGATTCTTTTATATTTGCAAACAGGTAATATGGACTTAAGAAACCATGATTTTACTTGAAATTTTGTTAGAACTTCATCTCAATGGCCATTTAACTCGTTCTTTAATACAGAAAAGAAATTATCTTTTAAGTATTTGTGCCCCTTAAGTTTTCTCTTTTTTATGAAGTATATGTAGTATTATTTACTATATATAATACAGAAATAATTATTCAGATCGTTATTACCATGGCATGCCATGATATTTACTTACAGTTATCTTTATTAGTGCCATCTGACTTTTGTTGTATAACAAATTGCTCTTTGCAAATAAAGATGTGCTTGTGGTTTGTAGGAATATGATGTGATTGTTTTCCTAATTGTGCTTTTAGAATGCAGCTTCAGAGAGGTAGGTTGAGTTTGTTTCAACTGTGTTATTTTTGAGATTTGTAGAATCTGCTAGCATGTATTCAGAGACCCTGGTCAGTTTTCTAAACTTTAAAAATGAAATAGAATGATGGCAATGGAGACGAAAGGTATTCATTTAGATTACCCCAGGAGAAAAAATTACTTCAATTAGCAAAACTAGTGCTGTTTCATTTTGACTGCTCTTGGATTAAAACAATGGAAAGTAGAAAAATTCAGAGAATACATCTTGGTAATGACATTTGCTGGAAATCAAAATAATTTGATCCATTTATTGTTCTACATTATATTTTTAAAGAGACATACGGCAAACCTAGGGCAATAAATAGAAGAAGAAGTATCTTCTTCTCCCTAACCACATCCTGATTTTTCTCTTAGTAGTACTGTACAGGCCTTGTTCCAAACTTTGGCTTTTCTCTATTTCTCTCTGTTCCTGCCTGGAATGCTTTGTCTGGCCCTAGCATTCCCTATTGGTCACAGAGCTTTGCTACATGATAGTTAAAAATACTTAGACGAAATTAAACCCTATGTGATAATGACTGTTTTGCTTTGTTACATCTCTTAACCTTCCTTCCCTCTCTTCTCATCTCCAGGTATTTTGTGATGGGACTTTTACCTTAACTCAAACTGATTGTAATGGTAGAAATTTTAGAAACTATGGCAGGCTGCTGAGGGATAAATTTCTGGGGAGAGTTTTGTGGGATCTCTCAGAAACTATGTGCTTTGTGTAAGGTTGCTTTTGGCTCTAGAGAATGAGCTGTTTTCCAGGTGTATTGTCAGCTTATGTACTTTGTGTAGACAGAGTACTCATGGGAGAATTCCGAAAAGATACTAGGGTTGTTAGTTCTGTTGATTGGCATTCAGCAACTAGAGGGGAATCTCTATTGCCCTTACCTCTGGTCAGAATTCTCCCTAAGTACCCTGTCTCATTCCACATGCCCTTCCAGAAATGGGTGTATTAAATTTTGAAGT